TTCTTTTTTGTAGTATTGAAGGTTCCCTGAGCTTCATAATTTCGATGCAGGATATGTGTGAATTGAAGACTCTTTTTTCTTATAAAACTTTACTGATAACGTTTCGGGCATAAGCCCTTCTTCAGATCAACTGAAAAACATTGCACATACAATTCAACACAACAAACATTGTTAAACAGCAAGTGCATCCTACCTATGCCGTCCTACAGTAAAGGAGGGGGAGAGGGGAGGACGGGATGGTTGAGAACGGAAGAATGAGGGAGGTATGCTACGTGGGCTTTTGAATGGGTTGAGGGAAGGGAATGATCTTCTCATAGTCACGAAGACTTCCCTCTCGCACGTCGCACAGCCTCACATTTCTATAAGTCTCATTGCCATCTTCATTTCCTCCTTGTTGTTGATCGGTGGTGCACATTGCTTTATTTCCAATGCTTCCCTTATCTTTCGCTAAATGATGGAATGACACACGGTAAGTTTCCGGTGGTAGGCCTTTCTTGTGCGTGTCGAAGTGTGCGGTGTTTTGAGAATGGACTCTCTGGGTAGTTTTGAGGACTACGCAGGGCTCTTATGTGCTCGTCCATTCTCTTGTAGAGTGGCCTTCCCGTTTCTCCAATGTAACAATCTCCGCAACCGAGGCACTCCACCTTATACACAACACACCTCATCTGGCACACCTTCTGCTCCCCACAGATCGTGCAGTTTGTTCGTTCGCACCGATTCTCATATGGACGTGATGATGTCAGAATGCGTCGTAGCGAAGGTGGTGGTCGGAACACCAAGTTTATTGGGAGTCCTGATCTTCTTACAACGCGGTCTATGTCCATAGCGAACTCATCGGTGATAAAGGGTAGTAAGAGAGGGGTGCCAGATGGTGATCGACACGGTTTCCAAGTACGGTGTTGTCCTCTTTTATAACCGTTTTGCCGCAATATTTCATCCACTTCGGTCATCACCTCTTGAACGTTCACGGAAGTCAGGTTACATGATGTCGAGATCATGTGATGAACGACATTCAGTTTCATGTGGAGAGGGTGGCAGCTACGGGCGTGTATCAAGATGTTACGAGATGCCCCTTTTCGTGCATCTTGGATACAGGATTATAAACGAGAGTGCAAGAATCTTGAAGAAGTTGTCACAAGGATACTTGGTCCAAAGCTTGAAAAGAACATTTTGGCCCAATTGATGCCGAAGCACACAAGCACACCAACTTATTATCAATTGGTCAAGACCCATAAGTTGGTTCGGAGCGAGCTCGATGGTACTGTGGACACTACGTCCATCAAGACAAGGCCAATAGTTGCATCCTGTGGCGGACCGACAGACAGAATCAGCTGGTTCTTACAACGGATCCTCTGCCCACTGCTTCAACATGTCTCTTCCCATCTCAAGAATGTAAGACAATTCCTGGAGCAACTGAGGCAGTGTAATTTTCAACAACAAACCACGACTGGTATACCAAAGTTTTGATGTTGTAGCTCTATACACGAACGTTGATACGCAAAGAGCTGTGGAGTCTTGCATTCGTCTTTTACGCCTACATCATCAAGAACTTCAGCTTTTTGACCTCAATATCAACGACATGGAAGAGCTTCTACGGACAGTGGTGGAAGTGAATATATTCCGTTTCCGGAATCGATTTTATAAGCAGAAACGAGGACTCGCTATGGGAAGCAGACTGGCTCCGTTGCTCGCGATTGTGTTCATGGATAGCCTTGAACGACAAGCTCTGTCATCAGGAATATTATATTTTGGACGATACATCGATGACATCTTTATCGTCGGCAAAACAAGAGCTGCTTTGCGAGAGACGTTTTCTAAGTTGAATTCAGCGCATGAGTCGATACAACTGACATCGGAAGAACCTTCGCCAGACGGATTTCTACCATTTTTAAACACGAAAGTCAGAATCATGGACGGTCAAATCAGTGCAATGTGGTATAAGAAAGGGGCATCTCGTAACATCTTGATACACGCCCGTAGCTGCCACCCTCTCCACATGGTAAGACTGGAATTGGTCGGTTCTCACGTATGGTGTCTCGACGGCAAATAAATGCATGTAACCTGACTTCCGTGAACGTTCAAGAGGTGATGACCGAAGTGGATGAAATATTGCGGCAAAACGGTTATAAAAGAGGACAACACCGTACTTGGAAACCGTGTCGATCACCATCTGGCACCCCTCTCTTACTACCCTTTATCACCGATGAGTTCGCTATGGACATAGGATGCCGCTGTGGTTTGGTTGTAAGGAAGATCAGGACTCCCAATAAACTTGGTGTTCCGACCACCACCTTCGCTACGACGCATTCTGACATCATCACGTCCATATGAGAATCGGTGCGAACGAACAAACTGCACGATCTGTGGGGAGCAGAAGGTGTGCCAGATGAGGTGTGTTGTGTATAAGGTGGAGTGCCTCGGTTGCGGAGATTGTTACATTGGAGAAACGGGAAGGCCACTCTACAAGAGAATGGACGAGCACATAAGAGCCCTGCGTAGTCCCCAAAGCTACCCAGAGAGTCCATTCTCAAAACACCGCACACAGCTTCCGACGAACGCAAGAGAAAGTGCGACCGGAATTCGTGGTTGTCATTTTCTGCTTTAGGATATAGTAGGGAAGCATTGGAAATAAAGCAATGTGCACCACCGATCAACAACAAGGAGGAAATGAAGATGGCAATGAGACTTATAGAAATGTGAGGCTGTGCGACGTGCGAGAGGGAAGTCTTCGTGACTATGAGAAGATCATTCCCTTCCCTCAACCCATTCAAAAGCCCACGTAGCATACCTCCCTCATTCTTCCGTTCTCAACCATCCCGTCCTCCCCTCTCCCCCTCCTTTACTGTAGGACGGCATAGGTAGGATGCACTTGCTGTTTAACAATGTTTGTTGTGTTGAATTGTATGTGCAATGTTTTTCAGTTGATCTGAAGAAGGGCTTATGCCCGAAACGTTATCAGTAAAGTTTTATAAGAAAAAAGAGTCTTCAATTCACACATATCCAATCTACGGTTTATTTGTAAGAAAACTGAGGGTGGGAGGAGAATTGAACGAGGTATTGGTAAGGTTTTAGAAAACGGTCCGTTTCAACTAAAGTAAGTATTTGCGGCTTTCGATGAGATTGTGGTTTTAGGATTGATAGAATAAGTGATGTTCATGTAGAACGGTTTACAAGACCTTTTGGAATAAGTCGCATGGAAAGCGCAACAAAAAGGAGAGTGATTCGGGTGGGACGCGTTACCGCGTCACAGCTTCCCACGAGGTGCGCAAAGTGGGACGCGTTACCGCGTCGTGCTGTGTCGTCAACATGTTAAAAGTACCGTCAAAAACATCTCACTACACCAAATAAAGGGAAAGATTTGCCATATTGCTGCTCTTAACCCGCAACAGTTTGAGGCTGTCTGATCCTTTAGACGAAAAACTATGGCAAAAGAAAGAGCTTTCTAAAGAGGTTCGAGCGCCAATGTGTGAGAGAAAGTGAACCCTCTGCCTCAAACGATAGCCTTGTAGTGAAAAAAGTAGGGGAGAAGCAAAAAATCAAGCAAGAAATCTGGCAAATACCGTAGCCTTTCGTTTATTGCGGAACATAGATTACTTCCTCCTTGAACAACCTTCGTCGTCAGTGCATCGTAGACTTTGGATGAGTATGGAGGAACAATAGGTCTTGAGTGCATACAAGCATTTTCCAAGCGATTATGGCCCAGTTAAAAAGGTAAAGCCTAGCAACCAAGTCCGTCCTCTCCGCGGCTGAATTTTCGGGAAGTTATTGTAGTTCCGTCGTCTCTCGCAGAAGCTCGCTCCTCTGTCAAGGGTAAGGGGAACTCGAGGTAAGAAAAGTTCCACAGTTCTACCAACAGAATGAACTTCAGAAGTATTGTGCTCGATCATGCTTCGCATCACAGCGTTTGTCGTGCTTCTGCATCTCTCGCAGGTAAGAAGACCTCGCCCGCACTTGTATGAGATCAGCATTTTGTTTATATACTTGTACTCGTACTTGAAATCTTCAGGGAGGTCGTGAAGGTGGGGTTTGGGGTGTGCGTTGCAGAAGAGGTAAAGAGGGTGGTTGTCCTCTACAGGCAAAGGAAAAGGTGGGTGAGTTTGGGGCCTCGGCTGGTCTCAGAATGTGGTACTGCAGAAACAGCACCGTTGGTGAGGGTAGTGTTGGGGACGGGTGGTTTAGAGACCTCGACGGCGAACGTGGTGGTGAGAGGGCGAAACTCCAGTTCGGGGGCACTCCATTGCTATCTTATCCGTAGTACTAGAGAGCAGTTCTTTGGGCTATCGAACACTACGGATAAGATAATAAGTGAACGACTCATTTCGAGCGTACTTTTGATAAGGACCGGTGGATGTCCTACATTCCACACTACCTGCCCACATCCCATCCACTTTTCTGCACAGGTGATCCACCCTGGAGCTCCTGCACCCTTAGCCCTTTGCGGAGGTGTCCTTTCTCCTGGTCCAGGACCGTTCCCTTGGGTCATGGCAGGCGGAAATGTGAAAACGTTTCAGGGTTTCTC